TAATGTTATTTCTTGATGAGTATTAAAAAACTCTTTTAAAAGTAGTTAAAATAGAGCACTCTTATATAAGTAAGAAAAGGAATATACAAATAATATATAAAATTCTATTTTCTTCTCCTTCTGTGACAAGTTTCATGGGATGGCAACCATCAAGTAGTAAAGTAAGGATATATATATAATTAATAATCAATAATAACAAAGATTGTTTGCACCTACCAAAATCCATCGACCATTAAATTGCTGGGCAATAACATGTTCAAGGTGAGTAGATTTTATGGATAAAATGTTAAATATTTGAAATAGAGGATTAATAATGAATAAATAAAAAGTTCAATGACTTATCTCACCTGACTCTGTCTTTCAGAGGTAAGTTTACACATCAGTTAAGATAAAACTATAAAGAATAGATTTATTTTACTCCTGATGTGCAGATTTACTTATTCATTTACTCATTATATATGTGTGTGTGTTATATTGTACTAATGCTGTTTAACAAGTCAAATGCACATGAAGCCTGCTTAATCAATGAAAATCATACAACACAAAAATAAAAATACTAGAATTTCTTTTTTTTTTCTCTCCATATCTTGTTCTCTGATAAAGATTTAATAAAAGTGAAACCTGTTAGATTGATAAATGTTTGCTATTGTTTATTCTGAGTGTATGCCCTCCCAAAGTCATTGTTTGCACAATTTTGGAGAAATCTTACAAGTTTACCCAGCTCTTTATTGCAGTAGGGATGGTAGAGTAATGGATTGTGGCTTGGATTGAGGAATTAGGGAGCTGATTTTTAATTCCAGTTCAGTTTGTTACATACACTTACATGCTAATAATACCCTTGGGAAAGGTATGAATCCAACTCTTCTCTCCCCAGCTATGGGTTAATAGTAGGAAAAACTGGGTTTTATAGCCTTGGGTGGTAACTTGTCTAGAAGGAAAGCATTGAATTCAAAACTATGTTGCTCTGGTGAAGCACATACTATGCAGTTAAGGAAAGGATTGTTCGCATTGATTTGATAATCCCAATGATAGTTGATTTTTTTTTTTTTGTTTGTACATGCATATTAAAGAATGTTCTTTGCAAAGGAAAAAGTGATGATGATATTTTATTTTGATAAAATATGGTAGAATATAAAAATGCACCATCAACACTGTTTACTATTCATGATTAATCTGGGAAGAATTACAATGGGAGATTTAGGTAATGGCCCACAAAAGCTTCTAATAATAATGCAGCAGATTCAAAGTGCTTTTGAATTCAAGGAAAAATTGCTGTAGAAGCAAAAGACCCCAGAATTTGAAAACTGAGGAATTAGAGGAACTTATGAAGGAACTGGCAGGATTATTCAATATGACTCTGGCAACTTTAGTATATTGTTTATAACGGTGGAAAAATGGGTTCTATATGAACTAAAAAAAATGATCAACCTAAGGTGAAACATTCTCTTCTTGCTTGACACAGAAAAAAAGACTCTTTAAGTTAGTCACTGGCAATGAAAACTGGATTTATTATAAAAAATCTAAAATGAAAACATTGTGATTAGAATAGACTTCAACACCTCAACTTAAACAAAATCTACTGATAGGGAAAAAGTTATCTGTGTTTTGTAGGGTGCAAGTTGAAGTAACAAGTTGTTGGAACTTTTGTTTTGCAATGCTACAGTGAGTAATTGGCCTGTTTGAATGATGTATTAGAACAGAAAAGACCATTTTTCTCTGCAAGGAAGTTGACAAGAGGTTTTGTTATGTGTAATGCAGAAAATGGTCATGGAACTGAGGTAGGGAATTTCTCCATTTGCAGCATGTTCTTTAGACATGTTTCCTTCTTGGGTCAGCAGGCCCAGCAAATTCACTGTTGAAAAATTCATTGAATCAAAACCAGAATTATTTACATTCTCTCTGCTAAATTCTTGGTGGGAGCTGTAGAAGCTTGATTTTGGTGTGTGTGATGAATGTATGGGTATGTTCACTTTCCGACTATGAGACCGGGGTTCGAATCTCATCATAGTCGATTTCTCAGGAAGGTAATTTCTTGATGCTATCATTCTATAGAACATGCAGCACCTTGGAAAAGTGCCTGAAAACCATATCACGGGCTGATCCAAGCCTTGTGTGGTAGATGGTACTGCTAGCATAAAGTCACAAGTCATTGTGACTGAGGGTTGTGTGTGTTGGCATTGTTCAAACTGTTGATCATGACATATATGCTCTCTATCAGAAACTCTGTGTGTGTAATATATATATATATATATATATATATATATATATATATAATATATATAATATATATATATATATATATATATATATATATATATATATATATATATATATATATATATATATATATATATATATATATATATATATATATATATATATATATATATATATATATATATATATATATATATATATATATATATATATATATATATATATATATATATATATATATATATATATATATATATATATATATATATATATATATATATATATATATATATATATATATATATATATATATATATATATATATATATATATATATATATATATATATATATATATATATATATATATATATATATATATATGATTGGTTGTTTCTTTGTAGATGTGATATTTTGTCAAAAAATCCTGGTAATCTTTTTGTAACACTTTAGATATCCTATAACCCCCAAAAGTTCGCTAATATTTTATAAAAATAGATATTTTAAATCTGTTTTTGTTCAACACAAACTATTTTTTATTGCTGCCTAACAATATTTCAGATTTAATGTCTTAATATTGAAACAATTAACTTTTGAGAAAAAGTCACCAAAAAGCAATTTGTGCAGACTAAAGTTAATGAAACCATCATATGTCACAATGGATTGTAGCCTTATTTCACTGACCAAACTAATGGATTTATTTAAATCAAGGACACATTTTTCTTAATTTCCAATGAAAATTTTTTTTTTTTACCATGCATGACCACCAGCATTTTATTTTTATCATTTCACTTCGAGCAAGGTATTAAAACCACTGAGACACAAGAGGTTACTGAGTGTGAGAGAATAGGAGAAAAAGAAAACTTATTAAGGAGCAATTATAATAAAACAAAAGGAATTAAGAAGACAGAAAATAATGATCGATTGATTTTTGAAGATCAAAGTTGACTGGGAATCAAGAAGCCAGAAGAGATTTCCACAAATCAGAAGTGTGAGAGAAGAAACTGTTAGCCTAAAACTTACAGTTACATCTAGTCATTTCAACTGTAAAATAATGAGAACTTGCTGCCAATCTAGTACTGTACTTAAATTTGTATAGCCTTGGTACGAAAGAGCAAAGCTCATTGGAAAAATTACCATGAAAATATTCATAGAAAAGGCACCTGGAAGCTATGTATGGTGGTAGGAAAGTGACTGAAGCTGATATGTCCAGTCAGGACCAATAACATTGCAGATTCTTCTTTGGATTTTATCAAGAATCTCTAGATACATAACAGAACAAGAACTATCTATCTATCTATCTATCTATCTATCTATCTATCTATCTATCTATCTATCTATCTATCTATCTATCTATCTATCTATCTTGTGTGCTTGTCATTTCTATTGAGGTAAATTTGGGTTCCAGCTTGCATTAAGGACATATTTTTTTTATTTTTAAATTAGATCTGGATTAGCTTTCACCAAGTCTACAATAAGGTTAAATATTTTTACATGTTGAGAGAAAAGTTTTCTCTGTTGAATAAAATGAGCAAAATATCTTCTTCTTTTATTTATTTATTTATTTATTTATTTTTTTTTTTAGAAAAGTTATTAAATTTTAAATGTGGATGTACATTTTTGTATATATAGTGTGTGTGTGAGATAATATATATGATTGTTGCTCACCTACTACACAAGGACAGCCACCAAATAGGTTGTGGCAGATGATGCAGTTTCTCCCTAACCTCTAGAAGCCCAATGGCATCTGTGTGCTTGCTTTTTATTATTATTCATAGCTTGAGCAACACTATGTGATCTGTCAGCATCAGTCAGCCAAGATCCAATGACAAGAACCAATCAAGTTAACTGAAAACTTTCAGTGCCATGTATGATTTGAGTAGTCTAATGGTGCAGTTCACATAGAACTGCTAAACAGGAAATTTTGATTAGAAATAAAGGAAGGAAGGAAGCGGAACTAAACTCTTATGTAATATCAGTGCTCCTATACGGCATTGAATACTGGACAATACAGATGGGACTTTAAGCAACAGAAATGTGGTTCTACAGAAGGATACTGAGAATGCCATGGACCGATAATATGAGCAATGACAGTTTTAGAGAAAACAACAACCAAAAGGACACTCAGAATCAGAAAAAGACAACTGAAATTTCCTCTAGCCCACTTGGCTTCAATATGTCCTGTGAGTATCAGATTTTCTAAGCCCTCTAAGGCTAGAGAAAAACTGTGTGTAACCTACCTAATGAGCTTGTGCAAATGGATGTCAGAACAGGGTTTAGGAGAAATAGCGAAAAAACATTTACTAGGAGCTACAAAGAACAGGAAATTGTGGACAGCCGTGATTCTCAAAATCCTGAAGGGACACAACACATAGAAGATGTTGCAGATGTACTTATTACTTATTTATTTATTGATATGATATATATATATATATAGTCATCCACAGACAGACTGTTTCGCTGTATCACAGCTCATCAGTGTGGCTAGACATCCAGTTGCCTCTAGCTAGGATCGAAACCCGATTGAATTTGCGTCAGTCGGGGATTCTACCATTAAGCTGTTGGCACACGGCAAGGATGAAGGTGAATTTTAAGTGTATTTATTTTTAGATAAACACCCAGTGACTGAGAGAACTCAATTTGATTTACCGAAGAGTCTTGCATTATTAGCCATAATAGTCACTGTTTACAAACTCACATTTCCTCCCCAGAGAGCTCAACCGAAATAAATTTTTCAGGAGCATAATGCAGTGATATATGAAATCCATGCTCTTAATATTGGGTTTACGGCCATATCATGTTAAAACACCAGTTCTTGTATGATCACTGAAGTTAAGGAATGTCGAGGCTGGTCAGTACCTAGATGGGTTGCCACTTGAGAATACCAGGTGCTGTAAGCTTTGATGTGTGGGTGGTGTAATGGATAACAGGTTGCAATTTTAAATTTTAATTTTCCAATTCCAGTCTGGGTTGTTATATTTACTTATGTGCAAATACTCTTGGGAAAGGTATGAATTCACCTCTTCCCCCCACTAGCTATGGGTTAATTAGTATGACTTGTATCAGTAAATCATTATTATCTCCAAAGACATTCTTACAATCTAAAAATCATTTCTGGCTTTAAAATAATCTGAAAAAGGTTGATAAGCCTTAAAAAACAAATCAGTCAATCTCTCTAATGTATGCATGTATGTTTGCATGCATGCATGTGTGTGTGTATATATATATATATATATATACACACACACACACTTTGAGGTTTGTATTTAAGCAATTGATTCTCTTTTATATAAACTTTATTAAATATATGAAACATGGACTTTGTTATAATGGTAATATTTTCCCCCTCTCCATGTTCTTAAATGTTTTTCCAAAGTCATGGTTGTTTTGGTACAATAATTCATCCTCAATAGTACATACAAAAATACATGTACTTATTACTATTAGCTAATAAATGCAATTCAGTACTGTGTAATGTTTACCTTGGTGTATGGATCTTCTTTTTCTTTGTGCTGCATCAGGTCACAAGCAATCATAGTTCTCCACAACTTCCTATCTCATGTGGTTCTTAAGTATTTCTATTCCCTTCTTGTTTCGCAATCCACTCATGCAAGTTGATCAGTTAGGCCTTCCCTTATCTCTCAATATGTCCTGTAAGGATTAAGTTTTCTAAGCTGACCTTTCTCATCATGTGTCCAAAGAATTTCAGATGTCTTTTCCTGATTCTGAGAAGATGTGTTCTTTCTGTTGCCATTTTCTTTAAGATTTCCTTGTTACTTATTTGCCTTGTCCATGGAATTCTCACTATCTGTCTGTAGAACCACAGTTTTTCGTCATCCGTGGGGAGATTGTTCAGCATTCTTTGCTATATGAGAAGAGCCTGTTGGTTGGTTCACCTTTAGTCATGTTAATTCTTTTATTCTGTTGTGCATGCATTATAACAAATTTAGTAAAGGAGAAAAAAGAAATTAAACATAGAATAGACTGCGCTAGAGATACTTTCACCCAACAGTGCAAATTGCTACAAAACCAAAACATTAAAGTGAAAACTTGAGTCATGTTCTTAATTATCTTCATCAGATCAAGACTTTCATATGGATGTCATGCATAGTACCAAGTCTGTTCAGAAATATCTAAACCATCAGCTGTATACAGCCATTTTCTAAGATCTCTCTCTCTCTCTCTCTCTCTCTCTCTGAATATTGTTGACTGACGTAACAGATTCACAAAGAACTGTACCAAATAACAGAAACCATATCACTTGCAGGTGACCACCAACAGCAGCAACAACTAAAATGGATGGCACAGGTAACTTTGAGAGAGTAATAAGTTAAATTTCCATGCTACTTCAAATAAAAGGTTAGGATAGAAACTCCCATCATTACTGTAAAGGGTGATAACAGCTACTAAACTTGAGAAATCTATTTTCTTGAAAAATTGTTTTAAGAGAAAGATTTTATAAATTTCAACCTAAAGCAGCAATGGCTGCTTGGTCAATTAGTGCTAAATGTTTCCTTGTAGGGAAACAGCTAATGTTACCATTACTATTTTATTGCAATTTTTCTGATGCAGAATTATTATATGCTTTGCTATTTGGAACATCTTTACTTATGCTCACATTTTGACTGTAGCATTGTTTGAACATGTCCTGGTATCTGTTTTTGTACTTGGTAGTCTTCTTGGAATTTTGACCTGATTCAAGGAGTACTTTACCATTACACCTATCTCAACCCCAACTAATATTTTAAACTCTTTAAGTAGTCAACTGGCCAATGACTGTGAAGTATGAGCAGAATTGATAATGCACATTAGGTCAATAAGGGAGATGGGTTTAATAGTTAAAATTTACCATGAACCCTTTATTCAATCTATTGGTTGAGTAGATTGTTCTTATTTTGGTTTCACTGCTTTGCAAATATTTTATATCAGTTAATGCTGACCTGTCTTATTTACCTTAGTTCATATCTCTGACTGAGCATTCTGGTCTATCAAAGTATGTAATGATTAATCTTTATGTAAGAAGGGAGAAAAAATAAAATCTATTTTTACCTGCATTTGTGGTAAGCTAACAAGTATTTGTTGGTTTTTATTTTTTGTATGTTTTTTCTGATTAGATTATCTCAGCAGAGGGTGTTATTTTTTATTAGTATAATAAAAGAGGTGGGGGGCGAGGCAATGAGTTTGAAGATTGTATGAGTAGATGTCACATTCCAGTTTCTCTAAAATTAAAATTTGTCCAACACTTGAGAAAGACCTTAACCCACGCTTTGAAAATATAACAGTAATCCCCCTTTGTGAAGTGTTTCATATTCATGTCTTGTATGAAATTTTTATTTTTCAATAAGGTCAGTTGGAATGTATTTTTTCCAGAGACTAGAATTTGGACTGGTTATATATTAGGTGCTGCAACAAGAAATAATCATTTTTCTTTTTTTTTTTATTTCCTGATATTCCAGATTATCTATCTACATACATACATACATGTGTGTGTGTGTGTGTATGTATGTATATATATATATATATATATATATATATATATATATATATATAAAAAAATGGTGGTAGTGGCGGACTCTCTTGACGTATAAGAGTCAAGCAGCTCAGTTCCTAGGAACCGACAACCAGACACTAGCACATATGATTTGAATATAATGGTGAAGACTTTGTGCAGAACCATCCGCACTTTTTGAAGGACCGAATACAGATACCTGATGCACTACGTGCCACAAGGCCCCCAAATGACCCTCCACAAGTTTTGAGTTCAGAGTTCTTCTCCTAGACCAGTTGCCATCCAAGGCTATAGAAACCAGTCTGTCCTGCTATTTACCCATACCTGGAGGGAGAAGAAAATTAATACCTTTTCCAAGGGTATTAGCACATGTGACTGTAATGTATTCAACTGGATTTCAAACTCGGCACTCCGATTCCCCAGTCTGATCCACTACTCCACTGTGCCTCTCTCTCTCTCTCTCTCTCTCTCTCTCTATATATATATATATATATATATATATATATATATATATATATATATATATATATAAAAAATGAAATTCTGTGACTTCCGTTAGTCTGTCTATCACATCCTATAAAATAGCCATACATTAACTGATCAAAACCAAATTTTAAGGAGGAGTGAAAACAGGTAAGGGGTACAAAGTACTGTTGGTTTTACTAAGATGCGCAGCTTAGTACAATAAATTTTCATTGTTTTGGAGAAAATTAAAAGTTTTATTATTTAACATACAAAATATTTCCACTATTTTAAAAACAATTTAATGATTGAAATAGCAAATACTTATTTGATAAAAATACAATATTTTTTTTTGCATATCTTTTCTTTAAGTTATATATATATATAAGAATCCAGTTTTCAGTTCATCTTTCATTTGTGAGGTCTATATAAACAAATCATAAGGAAAACAGTTGGAATTTGGCTCCAGATAGAAATATTTATGCATGTCAAGTTGTATGTTGCATGCTCAAGAGTAAGAAATCCTATGAATTTATTCTTCACTCTAAAAAAAGAAAAAAAAAAGAAATTTTCTTAAAAAGTCCTATAAAATTAAATTGAATTAAAGAAATTATTAAACTGCACAGTAAGGATTTTCCCTAACAAATTGGCTTATTTAAATTTCATCGATTGGTTTGTGAAACTGAACAGAACATAGTTTGTAAATCTTGACAAAAATGTTAGCGATAACATCAACAATACTAAATACTGTGAGTGTTTAAACATGTGTCAGCGTGTTACAAAAAAATTCCAGTGAATATAAATTATTAATTTTTATAAAAGTTAATAGGAGTGTCCTGTTTGCTATGTAAATTGATCTTCCTATTGACACAAGAAATAAATAAATGAAAGTATTTTAACATGATTTCTTTAAGTTTAAAAAAAAAAAAATTAGAAATTCGTTATCTGTAGTAGCGTAATAGTAAAAAGTTTTTAAATATAAATGATTGAATGCTATTTTGCAGATGCTTTGAAATGGGAGTATGAAAATATATATATATTTTTTTTTTTTTCATAGAGGGATCAATTTACAATAAATTTGCATAGTGTGACACTCATTAACCTTTATAAAATGTATAAAAAAAAAATTTCATAATCTGGTTTGCATAATCTAAATTCATATGAAGAAAAAAAATTGCAAGGAATGATTATTTCTAGTCTCTGTCTATATCTTTGAGATGAAGTATTATGATTATTTACATTATTCGGACTGTTATCCTTATTTTCATTGCCATATTCACAATGTTTTGGCCGTAGTACACTGTGGCCTTCTTAAGGTGATTGTAATTTTGAACCAAACCCTTTATTTCATCCACCGGGTAGATTGTTCTAGTTCCACATGCCATGCCTCTTCCAGATAGCTCGTTTATTTCCCTTTAACTCAACTCTCCAATGTTTTTGGTTCACCACTGTTGTAACCTGGTATTGAACTAGACCCAAAGAGTTGTGAGACTAGACTAATCATTGGCTGAAGGTCAGGGAGTAGCACTTTGATCCTTAATAGAGCAGGCAAATACTCTGATCCTATGCAAGTATCCATAGACAAATCTACTGTAATTAGAAACCTGTGAAAATTTCATGAATTTTCAATTTTAATATTCTGAAAAATCTTAATTCTTAAGTTAATGGTTGAGTAAGTTCATGGCGAGTTCAGTGACAATAAAATATCTGTAGAAATTCCCCTGTCACATTATTAAATATTTGAGCTTAACAACTGTAACAAAATATTGCGATAACAATCATAAATATTGATGCTGGTCATTATTTTAAGAAGTGGGTACAAATGAAAAGATTTGAAGATTTACCATTTGACTGAAACAGACGTTAAACATTTCTATCTTCACTTTCTTTCTTTCATTCATTTTCTCAAGTAGCATTTCTGATATGT